AACTCTTATAGTTGTAATTCTCTTGGGTAAATTACGTATTTATGCTTATGAAAGATATCTTCATCTTACGAAAACAAAACGATTGAGGCCTTGAATTAATTTTATTAGCAACATTTAGTATTCATAGGCAAAAAATTGGCATAATTATTCTCTAAGACAGTTTTCATATTTGTTTCAGTCATCTAGGTTTTTGAATAATAAATTGAAAGTGTTTTTTAAGCTACTGCATTTTCAAATCCCCAATAACACCGTTGATTTTATTCTATAGTGATGCATGCTACAATGCAATGTTCTGTACTATGGACTGTATTTTGTATTGTATTCATATGACACTTAAAGTGTACATTCGATATATTAGATCTGTGTGCTTAGGAGCGGTTAGCAGTGAGATGTTTTGGCGTAAATGTAAGGTTTTGGCGATGTCTGACCTGCTGCACCTGATCTCGCGGCGTGCTCTATAGTGCTAGGCTGCTACCGTCATCAGAAACACAGGCTAAAGCCGACTAGCTCGCTAACAACTCAACCAACAAACTGAACGACTGTGCGCAACACTACAATCCGAACTACAACATATCGGCGACGTTTTCGAGTTAACGCTGTATATGTATGGAAGGCAAAAGCGAGCGCGTTTTGCGGTTATAACTTACGTGAGCGCTGAGAGAGTATTGTGCTGCTGTCCGTTAATTTCTCCCGATGGAACACTCCCACGGTGACGTCAGCGGCGCGCTCACAACGCGCGAGGGAGCGTGGCACGACATGACGGCGTGACCACATCAGAGCGTCAAAAGCTGAACTAAGTCAGTGGTTATCATAATGCTGCACTCACACTTTCGCTTAAAGGAATAGTTCACACAAATATAAATCCTCCTCTTGTACTAAACTCATGTGACTTTCTGTGTTACACACAACGTTTGCCGTAATGTAACCGCATGCAGTGTAAACAAGGGGGTTGAGCTGTATGCTACTAATAATATTAGTTAGATGCCAGATGTATTTTTTTAAGCTGTGATGAGTCATATGATAATATGTAGGCTAATTTGACTAAATGTTTTATTTAATGTTATAAATGAGTCTATTTTTAAAATATGTATTTAAAAACGAATTATTGAAATAAATGAATGAAGACTTGTTTCGTCCAGAGTTTTTGAAC